TTCAGGGTTTCGGGTTTGGTTTAGGACTTAGGGTTCATCTTTTAGGATTTAGCGTTGAGGATTCAGGGTTTCGGGTTCTCCTCCTGGCCACCCCTTGGGAGCCCTAGGCCTAAAGGCCCCGAAAACTCGAATGCGGCGAGCCTATTGAAAGAAATCTGAAAAAGTTAACGGAACAAGTTGAGCTTATGTTCAATAAAAACTCTCCCAGACCACCATCTATCTTCGAGATGCATAAACGGCCCTGAACGCTGTTGCAAATTGTTTTAGAGGTTCCGGAAGCGGACTTTCAATACCAGCAACAAATGTAAATGTAAGATATAGGGGACAGGGGCAGGTGGCGAGCGAAGGAAAATCGGATAAACATGCTATGCGCAAAGGGATTCTGGAACTCTGGAATGGTGGGGTGATACCAAACAGGTATAGTGATGCAAGAAGCTTTGCTAGCTTCCAGCTCTAGCTAATTTTTTAATCCTATAATCCCCTTTAAAGGTGAGACCCCCCCATACTCGAGTAATTTACAATAATGTCGAATCCAAATTTAAGGCCAAGTTGGTACTATTCCCTACATAAGCCACTATTTAGGATGAGGTCGGGTGAGGGTGCAGGTTGCTTAAATTGCCCAGCATCTTCCGTAGTTAAGAGATATTGGGCTTTCCGGGCTCTAAACGAGGTCACCTGGCACCTGCACGATGCGATCGACTGATCGGCGGGCTGCTGGTGTTGCTGCCTATGGGTTTGGAGCTTGGTGTTTAGGGTTCTCTGAGACAGCAAGGTGCCGATAGTGCTGATACCAGCTGTGCACGTCTCCTCCTTGCTCCAGGCCCCTTGACTCATTCTCCCCGTTGATAAGTTTGATAAGAGGATATTGGTTGCCCCACATCCATCAGATGACTACGATAAGGTACTAGTTCTACCCAAACCCTAAACACTATAAACCCTAAACCCTAACCCTAAACCCTATAAACCCTGAACCCTACACTCTAGGGGTTAGGATAGCTAGAACCCTTTGATGAACCTCGAGGTATGCAAGCGATGTCTACTTGTCATGGCCGTCGCCTTTTCCAGCCTGTCGGTTCTGTTTAGGGTAAACTTAGGGGTATATTAGGGTTATATTGGGATAATGGACAAGAAAATGGAAAGTTCTATAGGGTTTAGGGTTTAGGGTTTAAAGTTTACGGGGGTTGTACTCTTCCCTCTTACTATCGTATTCTGCCTTGCCCTTTGCCATGTTCCATTGTCACAGAATACCCCCCGAAGCAGCCGGAAGCATGTCCACATTGCTGCACGAAACCCTAAACCCCAAACCACCCTTCGCCCTTCCGTCTATAAGAAGCCTAGACTCCCAGACCTCGAAGCCCTGAGCACTAAACAGTAAACCCGAACCACTAGCCCTTCTACCCTAACACCCGAAAATCTTAGCCGTAAAGCCCAGACTATGAAGAGGCTGTTGCTGCACACCTTCCCGGCTTTGGGCATGAGAAAATATCAGTTTGTCTTGGGTTTGGGTTTCGGGCTTAGGGTTTCGGGCCTATGGGGTGTTTTAGTTCAGGACTCGTCTTGGGTTTGAAACTTCCGGGGCTTTAGAGCTTAGGGTGGCTTAGAGTAGGGGCAACAGAATCCTATCTTGAGAGCACGTGCCAAAATCAAGCTCTCTGAATGCCGTAGAGAAGGACAGGACCTACGCCACATTGACCGGAATTCTGGCATATGTCAGCCCAAGTGCCAGGCCTTCAAAACTCCGTATCCTGTAGCCTGAATACCGAACTCTAGAAAATCAGCCCTGAATCTCAAACCCTCGCCGCAAACCCTGAACTCTAAATCCTAAACTACCCTAAACCCTATAGCCCAAGCCCTCAGCCCTTGGCCCTGAACCCACAAAAAACAAAGTTTCTGTAAATCTGTGGGTACCCCCCAAAACAAATGATCCCAGCGACTGGAGGACGATCGCCCAGCAGCCACCAAGCAACAAGCCGACGATGCTGGGCAAAACGGTGGTCCAGGCCTCGGCTTTAGGGTCTGGAGTTCGGGGTCTAGGGTCTGGAGTTTGCGGTTTAGGGTTCTGGGTTTAGGGTCTAGGGTCTGGAGTTTAGGTTTAGTGTTTGGAGTTTAGGGTTTAGGGTCTGGACTTCAGGGTCTTGGGTCTGGAGTTTAGGGTTTAGGGTCTGGAGTTTAGGGTTTAGTGTTTGGAGTTTAGGGTTTAGGGTCTGGAGTTTAGGGTTTAGGGTCTGGGGCTTAGGGTTTGGAGTTTAGGGTTTAGGGTCTGGAGTTTAGGGTCTAGGGTTGAGGGTTTGGGGCTTAGGGTTGGGGTTTTGGTGCTTAGGGTTTAGGGTTCAGGGTTTGGGGTTTAGGGTTTTTAGGTTTTAGTTTAGGGTTAGGGTTGGGGTTTAGGGTTCAGGATAAAACAGGGGTTCCTCATTCCTCACAGTAAGGGCTTTGTACAGGTTAGGGCACAAATAGGAGTTCACTTGCACAGGTTAGGGTTTTTATTGGTTTTAAAAGGACAGTTTGGCGTCAGGATTAGAGGTTTAGCGTCGGGATTAAGAGTTTAGGGATCAGGGCGAAGGGTCCGGGCGAAGGGCTTAAGGATTAGGACCTAGGGATGGAGGATCAGGCATTAGGGCCTGGGGATTAACGTTCTGGGATTACAGTGTAGGGCTTGGGGATTAAGGTTTAGGGCTTTCTGGGACAAAACAAAAAATTCAAATCATGGTCTCTAAGGGTTCCTTAAGCACGCTAGGACCTTGGATTAAGCTGAGCCTAGGCTCTGGGTTTGAGAGTTTAAGTTGATGGCTTAGGCTTCCGGTTTGGCATACGGTTTAGGATGAGACTTGGTATAGGGTTAGCGTTAAGGGTTTAGGTTTGGGATAAGGTTGGAAGCATGGTAGCATGGACACTTCATCTGAGGTCCTTAAAAAACCGGTTTTATACCCTTCAACACCCTACAAACCGAATTCGGGGCCCATAGATGGGATCCAGGAAATAGGTAGGGTCAGGGCCAGGGTCTAGGTCATAGGATTCAACGCGGCGTTTGTTTGAAGGCTTTCAGTAGCTTAGGCTCTAAACCCTCAACCCTAAACCCTAAAACCAAAATCCTAAAATTCTGGGATTGAAGGCCTTCCGTTCCGAAAGGATGGTCCCCTAGATCTAGGTAAGGGGCCATATATGCTGGGGGGCGAATGTAAACAGAAACGGAACCATGCTACAGGATCATAGGGCCTAGGGCTTAGGGGTTTAGGGCTTAGGGCTTAGGGTTTGTACCCACATATTCCAGCCGGTAACAGCTTCTGAGCTCTGAGGGCCTCTAACACCTGTGAGCCCCCTTCATGGAGGACCCTTTCATCTTTGACGCAGGGTTTATAATAGGGTGTAGAGTTTATGTAGTGTTGATGGATAAAAGTATACGCGTCACATGGGGCTTCTCAAACTTCATGTGAAGAGGAAAACGAGAATTTCTGAGAAAGGGTTTTGGACCGTAGGGATATATGACATAGGTATGTCCTGTGTGTTTTAGCAGGAAAGTTGTTGAGTGTAAATATTTGGTGTCCAATTTGGAGATCATGATGCAAAACCCTCTTTTATGTAGGGTGTAACCGGTGTAACCTGCTGTTAACCCTAAACCCTGACCCTTCTCCTCAGATTTCACCCCTCCACCCACCTTCTAATGATAAATACTCACCCAATCATACAATGCTACTATACTGGCCAGTGGGTATGTATTCTTAAGGGGCCGGCACTTGTTGTTAGAGACCCTAAGCCCTGAAACCTAAACCCTGAATTCATGGGTCCAAGCTGCCATCCTGCTCCGAAATATTGAAGATGGCGGTTTTGCCGGGATGATGCAGGTCCTAGAAAAGGTGGGAGATAGGCTTTCTGGTTTGGGGTTTATGGCTTTGGGTATATGCCAGGACATTATGACAACAAGCTAGGATCAAATCGGCGAAAAAAAAAAAATGAAAATCATATTGACACTTGCGCTGCGTCGGAGGATCTAAGGTTTGGGGTTTCCTAGATTTAGGGTTCGGGGATTTTCAGGTCTTGGGTTTTGAGGTTTAGGGTCTACGATTGGGGGGAGGGGGCAGGGGTCCGAGAATGGTATTTGTGTGCTCAAGATTGGAACTAGAGGCCTTGGCCTTGGCCCCCATTTGACAGAATGTTGGGCTCCAGATAGTAACAGCGACGAAAATCCATACAGATAGCAGCAACTGCAGCTATAGCAACACGGTTGCCACAATCTAAAGAACCTTTATATGTACCGCCTTTACGCCATTGAGCTCCAAGAAGCAGTTCTGTAGAGGAAAGGCTCTACTGGGGCATGCGCTTTGCCTTCTTAGAGCCCCAAAGTCGCATGACACGCCGATACCCGGGCACTACGTCGGCATCTCGACGACACGCAGTTACTGCACATTCACCTTGACTGCCAGAAGCCGCATATTCGATGCAAGCAGAAGACTGCTTCATCCTGTGTAGTGGCTCACCCTGGTCGCAATCTCCATGTAGGTAGGCCCCTTACCCAGGGAACCACGGAGCGCGAGTGAGAGTGAGCTTCAGCAAGACTTGGCAGTTGCTGCAAATTAGGGATACCCTTTTTTGGGGGTACCTATAATAAAGATTGAGATCTTCTGTGGGGTCCATGTGTGAGATAGTCTACACTCCCCCCACTCAATAACCTCCATACTACTCCCCTATATAATCCCCTACTTAAGCCCCTTTAGGCAGCTTAGACTACAGCTCATATTGAGGTCCCCCCATTTATAGCAACTACCACTTGGGAATTCCTGGGGGTGCCCAGTTCCAGGGTTTGGGCGTGTGAGTTCTTCCTCTTACTGCGAAGCTTTCTGGGTCATGCCTGCCTTGAAGCCCTCGAAGCCTAAACCCTGAAACCCTAAAACTCTAAACCCTCAGCCCTAAACCCAACTTGTAAACGTTGGACAAGGCCCGCTTGTGACACCACAAGGTGGCCACAACCAGGCTCAAAACACTCTGCACTACAGCAAGGGATCTTCTTCCATTGCGTCGCCAGGTAGATTTCGTAGACGCACCACAGCCTTAGACCAGCAAACGGAACAATAGCCTGCAGACATAATGTCGTCAGCCTATACCTGCCTACCCTAAACCCTAAACCCTAAGCAGAATGCAGAATCGCCGTGGATTAGCATGTTGGCATAGGCCCTAGACTCAAAACCTGGGTTGCTGCTGAGTAACTTAAATTGGTTTAGGGTTTAGGGTTCAGGTACTATACTAAGAAAACCCCATTATTCACTCTATACCGATGTTACGGCAACTGAATTTCAGTTCCTGTTTACATGGCACTTAGGACCCCTAGTAAAGGTTAATCCGTCGGTATCTAGAACAGGAAAAGATGGGAATCCGGAAGATTTAAGGGTCTAAGGTCCAGACTTAGTCCCAAAACCCTAAACCCTGGACAGCAACCCAGAATCCGATCCTTTGCTGCATGCTTCCCCGCAGGCCACGGTTTCGCTTCAGCTTTTTTCCCTCTACGACGTTGACTGTCAAAACAATGTGAGCTATAGTGCAAAATCCTCAAAGGGGGTTAGCATATGAGCTGTTGTCTAAACTCCTAGTATCCCCCTTAATAACCCCCCTATAGTAGTTCCCTATATACTCCCCTATATACCCCCCTTTAAGGAGTTTAGACTATGGCTCATATAGGGGAGCATTATAGGGTCCATGAAATTCTTAAAGGGGACATACTAGGAGTTTAGACTAGAGCTCATGTACACATTGACCAACTCCGACTTTTGCATGAGCCGTCAGGACTTCTGACCTAGGAATGACATTAGTACCCATGTCATCAGGTTTCGGATTTTGCCCCGCAAAACGGTCATCAGAGTCCAAATGAGTAGTGTTTTTTTTTGTGGTTGAACCTAATATACCCCAAAAGGAGGGTAGAATCTTACTCTATAATATGGGTACCATATATAGTATCCCCAAATAGAATAATTCTCAAATCCCTTCCTGCATCAATGCCTCTCGCCCGCCCGTTCAATCCTCCAGTTGTAGGTCAGGCCCCACCTACTAATAGTGACACCTACTAATAGTGCTCGCAATGGATAGCGGTAAAATGCGGTAAACATATGAGCGTCCTTCTGCCTTCTTTTTTTACCACTCTTACCGAGATTGGGGGGACTGGCCTAACCCAAAGTACACCCTAAGCCCTGAACTCCAAACTGAAAACACAAAACGTTGAACTGAAAGCGCCCAAGCTTAAACCCTAAACACCTCAACCCCGGAACACGGTTCAAGGTTCACGGAGGCTTTAGTAGGAGCAAGCTCATGCCCTAAATTCTCCTCGTCCCCCCTAACCTACTGGTGCTTCAGGTCAACGGAGGAAGGAATACTGGTACCTTGACTTAACTATTTGGGTACGTACGGGGAGTATATACATGTGTATATATATATATACGAAAAGATGGACTGCTTTTCGGATAAAATTCAGAACAAGGAGCCGTGTGTAAATGCTCACGGTGTCATTGGGGATGACCAGGACGTGTGAGGCACGCTGCATTGCCTCGGCGATAACAAAAAGACTGCCTTAAAATCATATCTACGAAGTAAACCCTGAGCCCTAAACCCTGAACACTTAAACCCTAAATCCTGAACCCATAGCCCTGGAGTCTGACCAGCCCGAAACACTCAAAATCATCCCTTGGAACCGAACCTTGCGAGAAACTAGCTTCACGCTAACTGCCCATTTGTTGGGTATCTCTTGGGGTTATGTAGGGATTACAGAGTATATTTTGCGGGTATATAAAGATTATAGGGTATATATTGCGGTTATATGAGGATATGTAGGGATTATAGGGTATAATGCCCCCCCCAAGTAGATGGAATATGGCTTTGAGTATATTACAATAGGATCCCCATAAACCCCATATTTTATCTACTAAAGGGGGACTATATATGCAAACTGCCTTTGCAACCTCTGTCTGAATTCAACTTGCAACTCTCTGTTTCTCTCTCTCTCTCTCTCTTTTTTCTTCTTCAGGCTCTCCCTCTCTCTCCCTCCCCATCTACACCCTAAATCCTTAACCCCTAAAACTCCAAAACGCGTTATTTTTTCCATCGAAAGCAATCCTGAGCCCTAAGCATGCGTGAGTTCCGTATGAAGGATAAAGTATTGGAGGTCTTGGTGCTCTTAGGGTTTATAGGCTCTGGAGGGCTCAGTAGGGTCTAAGGTCACAAGTTTCGGGCTTCGGGGTTGTTACCAAAACCTTAAAACCCTCAACCCCAAACCCTAAATCCCAAAGCCTAGACCCAAGCCCTGAAGCAATAAGCAGCCAGGTTACCTTGGCGAAGGGGCTCTCGATGGGTGGGCCCGCAAGCATGGTGGTCAAGTCGAGATTCTGAGGGTTGGCCAGGAGACCTTGTTGGAGATTCATTCGGGTTTAAAGTTTTAACGTGTAGAGTTTAAGGTAGCTACGTATAGGCTACAGTGAATATGTCACAAATAGCCAATGGATCTGGGCTCCTTATTGGGGAAAAATATTAGGGACTATCCTGAAATGCAAAGGGATCCCATGTCCCCGCTCTAAGGGTCCCTTTGCAACCCTCATTTAATGGCAGTAGCTACATGCAACGAAATAAGTAGGAAGACTGTACTTCGAACGGTCCTCATCGCATTACAAATAGAATAGTTTAGGGTTTAGGCTTGAGGCATCAGAGTTTGAGGCTACGTAGGGTTTAGGGTAATCAATAGCATCAAAGAACTCAGCTCCTTGTCCTGCCGGAGTCGAAGTCTGCACTTCTTCCACTCCAGTGGGGCTTAGGGTTTTCACAACATAACAGCAGCTTGACAAATAGTGGGCGCGTCAGTTGTCTGGTCCGGACACTGAATCCTGAAGACGCCTGTGGTGCTGTCGAGGTTGAGAAGCAATTTGCCGGTACGGTAGCAAATTGCCAAAGCCGTTGGAAACTCCTCGCTAACGGAGACGTCCTGCCACGTGTGGCTACGAGGGGCCTGATTGACTTGGAGGCCATCCTCTTCACTGCCACAAAATGAGCGTCAAGCGCGAAAATGTAATCTCCTGGCTTGAACACGTCTGTGAGGGGCACCGCGACAATAGAACGCCTTCGAAGGATGCAGAACCGGACAGCAACAACCCAGTATTGTCTGCGCAAACCAACTCACACAGAACTCTCAGAGGCACTAGCCTGAAAGGTTACAACGTAGTTAAGCCGTCCCGAACTGCAAAGAAGGGTCCTTGTCCCTGGTATTTGACTTTGAAGCGATGGGCGCGAAAAGCATCAATCAGACACGTGTCCCGATATTTCTGTGGGCCTGTTACCAGGCCTGCGCGCTGGCCGCTTCGCACCAATTCAAAAAACACCAACAAAACAACATGTCTGCCAACCCACAGCAAGACCACAAGGCAACAGCAACAAACAACAGTGCTATTGCTGCTGCTGCTGCTGCTGCCGATGATGATGCAACAAGATGACTAACTTGCTTGCTGCCAAGCCAAGCAGCTGTCAGACACGCTTTGATGACCTGAACCAGCACATCCACGGCCATGGCACGATCAGAATTTTTCGTGGATCAACGGTGTATACTGAATCCTACTATACACATACACGCAGCTCCGGTCACTCTGCAACGTTGAAGATGACACTTTTGCGGACCGAACCTTGTGTGCCACACCGTTGGACTTCGGATAGCCAGGGGATGAGAAGTCATGTCGTCGACCTGACAACGCTCACCCGTTACTGTCGTCCAAAGTAAGACAAACTCATACCCGCCCTCCCCGGAGACCGACGACGGCAGCGCCAAGGGCGGGCAACCTCCGAATCCGCCTGACAGCACGCGCTTTCCAAGGTGATGTTGTCCGCGCGGCAGTCGAAGAGGAAGCGGCGCTTTTTGCTGCCTTCCAGCTGTGCTGATGTGTGCACCAGCACCCGGTCCGAATATGTTGCTTCCCGGCGCCGCTGACGCTGTCACGTGGAGTTCAGGCCAGATCTCACCACGCCTCGAACAGCATCGCGCTCGGACCAGTCTCTCCCGAAGAAAACCTGCCGCGCCTACGCTCTGTAACGACAAACAAACTAAACAGGCTTCAATGTAGTAAGCGGCGGGCGCTTTCTGCTGCTGCACACGTTGGACAGCTAATTTCTGCACATAGGCCTTGGTGCAAGATCGGCAACTTCAGCTAACTACGAACCAACAGATGAGGCACACATGTTTGTTGGCAAAAGCTGCGCTAAGCTGGTTGCAGAAGCGACTCTTGGTTGGACGACTTAGGGAAGCCTACCAGAAAGGGAGAACTACTTGCACGAACCCCGGAACTTCCTTCCACTCCTTTGGGTTCCAATGAGGCCTGACAGCAAAGCTCTGCAAGTGTTCTTTGAACGCCCGCCGCAAGGTCATCCAGATGATTGCAACCCGCGCGCGTGTTTGCTGAGCCTCTTCCAACCTTTTAACCCAAAACCCTGGGCGCTCTTCTCGAGTTGTGCGTTTTGAGCCAGACAGGTCGTCAGCCATGCTGGCCCTCTGATCGCAATGCACAGGCATGTGCTCCAAAAGCACGCCCGTGACTACGCTCATCACGGCGTTCCATCATGACGAAGATGCAGGATGAAAACAACGATGTAGTTTACAGTCCTGCCCCGAAGGCTCATCATGATGACTTTCTTCTTACGGGGATCTTGGATTTTGTCCTGGTTGCCCAGTGGCTTCACACTGGTGCCATCTCTATCGTAGAAATATTCACGCGCAGACACTAAATCGTATTTTTACTTTGACCACTAAGTTGTAAGCAGGCTTGTCAGTCTATACTTGGCAGCTTGGTGACATTCTGCCCTCACTGCCCTCATCGCACAGAGAGAGAGAGAGAGAGAGGGAGAAAGAGAGAGAGAGAAAGAGAGAGAGAGAGAGAGAGACAGAGAGGGAGAGAGAGCAGAGAGCAGAGAGAGAGAGAGAGAGAGAGAGAGAGAGAGCACAATCCTTGTTGCGACGTCTAACTCGGACGCCTACCCTGCTCGCAAGTTGATCTCTCAACGCACAGATCCAAGAACAGCATTGCACCTTGTAGAGCGGAGCCGGCTTCATCACTTCACTGCAAAACAAGACGGAAACAAGGGTTGACCCTGTCTGAGTGCCACATTGCCACGTTACCACGGCACAGCTTCAAATTAAAAATAGCACACAGTGTTGCCACGAGCGCTTTTCCCTACACATCATCCGCTGTGTTGTCAGCGCACAAAAATCTGAAGCTTTGCAAGATGCGTTTTCACAGCATGCTTTTGAAAACCAGTTCATCCACCGGCCAGTAAGCGGGCTTTGCAATCCCCCCTCCCCCTGGCCGGAGACAGGGATGCACCCAAGTGCACTTGCAGGAATACACGCTGTCTTTGTCGCGTGCATCCGACAAGTTATGCAAAAAAAACTTACCGTGTTCAGGCTGAACCTTAACGGCGCAGTTCTGATGCCCAGCGAACTCTGCACCCGGCTTTGCCGCGGGCTCGCCACTTCACCAAACCGCACCTGCAAGAGGTGCTGTGTGGCGTCCACGCAATGCCACACCCAAAGAAAAATCAAAAGCGCTCAACATCTGTCACTGCTGCTGCGGTGGGGAGTCCAAGTCCATCTGCTCGGACCTCCCATAAAGGCGCCGAGCCTGACTCTTCCAAAAGGGAGCCTCGTTCCGGACTTTAATCTTCAATCTGCAGGCCTGGACCAATATTAAAGTCCAAGCCTGCAGAATAAACAATAAATTCAGGCGGCGGCCACTCTGGCCTCAAGCCAAGAAGACGTTAATATTTAAACGTTACAATTTTTGAAATATTAAAAACCTAGTTCCGAACTTTAATCTCTAATCCGCAAAGCCGGACTTTAATATTAAAGTCCAGGCCTGCAGATTAAATACTGAAGTCCGGGGCTGGGACTTTAATATTTAGCAAACTTTAATTTCTAGATATTAAAGTCATCTTGGCTTCAGGCCAACGCGGCCCCCGCCAAGACTTGAATGTTTAATCTGCAGGCCTGGACTTTGAACGTTAAAGTCCAGGCTTGCAAATTAAAGATTAACGTCCGGAACGAGGACTCTTGATATTTGAAAAACTTTGCAATATTTGAATAATGAAATCTTCCTGGCTTGAGGCCAGCGCGGCCGCCATCAGGACTTTAATGTCTAATCTGCAGGCCTGGACTTCAATATTAAAGTCTGGCTTTGCGGGTTAAACATTAAAGTCCGGAACTAGAAACTTTAATATCTAATCTGCAGGCCTGAAGTTGCATATTACAGTCCAACCGTGCAAATCAAATAGTAAAGTCAGGAGCTGGGAGTTTTTTTATTTAAGTTTCGCTCTCGCATTACAGTTGAGACCGTCCAGGCGGATGCGCCAAATAGACCCGTTTCTACTTTCGTACGCAGGGGGGGGTGACCCCCAGAGTTTAAAGAGAGTGCAACATTAACAGCAACCCAGTCTTTTATGCCTCGGCTGCGCATCCTCCCCGACAACCCCAACAGCTACAACATCCTTGATGCTCCGACTCAGGAAAACGAGGGTACATGCCCAGGGAGACCCAAATCAGCCTGACCCCGCCGCTTGGAAGAAAACTATGACTAGGCCTGGGCATTTTCAAGTCTGTCCTATCTGCAAGACCTCGGCATCTACCCCACCAACGTGTACTTACTCCCTAGCATGTAGGGCTTCCGGTGAACAAGTCATGACCCTCAACCTTGAATATTGATGAGGTGCAATTCAACATGATCCTGTAATATATGCTGGGCTCAGGCATACAGTAGACGTGAACATCTATTCAACAAACAGCCTAGAAAACTCCGAGAGAATTTTCGACAAAGGGATCCCATGTCAACCTACGTTCTGAACCCTAAACTCTAAATCCTAGAACCTAAATCTAAATCCTAAAAACCGTAAGCCCTGAACCCTAAAACCCAAAAATCCCAAGCCCTAAACATCAGTCCAGAGGCAGCAGTACATGTTTCGCATTCCCAAACCGCCTGGCCAAGCCCTGGTCAGATGACCTTGGCTAGCTCGGGAGCTTGTCTGGGTTGCTGTTGAGGAACTTAAGTTAAGTTACCATATGGGGTATATATGAGCCATAGTCTAAACTCCTTTAAGAGGGGGTTATGTACGGGATAGCTCATATAGTAATTATTATGGTTCCCACATTAGAATGACTTAAGCTAAGTTCCTTAACAGCAACCCAGCTGTAGAGTTTTTAGGCTTTGAAGGCTATATAGGGCTTATTATACTACGTAGGGTTTAGTGCCTAAGCTATATGAGCCATAGTCTAAACTCCTAGTATTCCCCTTAATAACCCCTATAGTAGTCCCCTATATAATCCCCTATATAATCCCCTTTTAAGGAGTTTAGACTATGGCTCATATAGAGTAGGTCGCCTAG